AATAGTTGCATAGCCTTAACTCAAGGATTCAATGAGCTACTAATGTAAAAAGTAAAAGCTACTTGATAAGCATACCTGATACATAGGATGTATTCAACAAATGTGACTATTTATTTTCATTGTATTACACATTTTAATACCTAATCCTAAGAGCATAGTCTTTCAAATGTGAACTTGAAAATGTAACAATCTGCATAGGATTGCTTTGATATGGCTTAATGTATAAAACAATTTTTCTGTCATCTCCAAACACAAAGGCAAAGGTAAGTTTTTGCTTTTTCACCTTCTCCAGATGGTACAATACTGTAACCCAGCACATAAAAGTGAGACCTGGTTGATTACTCATGTAAGAGAAAAAAGAATTTGTGTCTTTATTTAACTGCTGATATCTGTTCCTACCTGGAAATGGTACTGACCTCTTTGATCTATTGAAAAGAAATTCTATTGTAACCCCAGAGAATTTACTGACAGCAGCAAGAGTATGTTTAGGCTATTTTACAAAGCTATTGCTAGCTCCTCAGTGGGGGCAAAAACAAGCTGCAATGCTCTCTATTATGTAGGGAAGTCATTGGTGCTCTGTAAAGCAGCAGAATAGTACAGTATGTCAGAGTGACAGTGCTTGGCCGTCATTTAAGGTTGGCTGACTCACAAGTAGGAGGACTGCTTATTAGTCTAAGTCAAGCTCTGTCATCCAGGCTCTTGCCTTTGTCCTGTTGCTTGTCATCAATAACTCCAGTAAATTTTCCTTTCGAACACAGCTACTTGTTTAACAACCTAGAAATTAGCTTTAAACTTAATTTGGAACCTTGCAATAATATCATTCCTAGAGAAATTTAAGAGAAAAATGTTCATTTCTTAATAATGTTAAATCTTAGACCAACCCACTGCAGCCTTTGCTATTCAAAGTCCTGTCCGCATGCCAGCAATTGGCATCACCTGGAAATCATTAGCAACTCGGAATGCCCAGCCCCATCCCGGATCTCTGATTCAGAATTTGCAGTTTAACATTTTAATATCTCAGAGTGATTCAGGTACACATGAAAGATTGGGAAACACTGACTTAAAGAAACGAATGGGGAGGGGAGGGATTCTGACAGGTGGTTACAGTTTTGTGTTACCAAGATGACAGTAACTAGACAAAATTGAAATGTGTGCCAGAAACCTGGAACCACATATTAAAATAACAACAGCAACAAGAATGGACTTGAGCAACAGTGAGTGTTTGGTCAATTATACTTGCTTTTCTTTTAGGCATTATTTAAACAATTGGCTCATTTTGTTGAGCGTTGGGGGTTTTGGGTTGTTTTGTCATTATTTGTAATGCCTCTAGGAACATTCCCTGTTGCATCTACCCATGCATGAAGGAAGGAAAGAAACGATAAGTCCATGTTAGTTATCTATCACTGGGGATCGCTACTTTCAGCTAGGACTCAACAGAGTTTTCTGGGAGTGGTTACTTGGACTGTTGTGTCTTTCTATCAGGAACAGGGAGCTCTGTGGGTGGAACTCCTACTTGGATTATCAGAAGCCACTTCTTTAACAGGAAGGAACAAGTAGTGCTTGAAATCTGAAGTGGAAGAGTTCAACCACTTATTTGCGTATAGTTAATATCATGTTTCCCCAGTCTATTAAATTCTACAAAGAGAAGACTTGCTTTTCACTATCTGTGCTTTACTAGGTTACCTTAAGGCAGTGTCTGGGGCTACTCTCTCTTTTTTGGCCCAACGGCCTCCTGTTCATCTTTAGTCACTCTAGAGTGTGTGTAAGTGTGTGCATGTTTGTGCAAATATATGGCTTGGCAGAAATTAAGAGAGGTATGCAGGGCTGAATATAACACTAAGTGGAAATCACAGTGTTTTTTAAAGGTGATTATTAAAAAATAATAATATATAGTCAGGGTCACATACACAATAAAATTCCAAGATGCCAGAAGAGAAATTCTTAATTAAATCAGTAATATTATTTTCCCAAAAGCCTTGCCCTTAAGTTTTGTTTTTTATGTATAAGTATTATTACTCTGAGGTTTTGCATTCACTGCTTAGTAACGACAATTCTCAATAGTAAAGATCTTTGACTATAAAAGCTGTTTTATTTTCTCATGTGGGAAAAATATTTTACATCCTGAAGTATATGAATCAGAAAATACTTTTGATGTTATGTTAGTTGTTAAAACAGACAAGTCTATAAACTAATATGGAATCATACTTCATTACAAAAATAACAAAAATTAACAGAACCTAGTTTCGAATCCATTAATATTTTGTAAAATTATCATATTATTTTTCTAGCTGTGGAATGGGTGAATAATAGTGGTAGTGAATAAAAATATAAAAATGAGCAATGTTTTAGCAATTAATTTTAATCTGAATTTTCCTTAAAGCTACTTTTATATTCTTTGTCCATTCTTATTTTTTATTAACCTCAAAAGTTACTTCCTATTAGTCTACTAAGACATGATTAGTATAAGAAACAATTAGTCTTATTTCCCACCGATGTTTTACCCCTCACATTATCTAAAAACCAAAGCTGATTATAGACTGTTTTCTTAACCAGGACTAACCATCCAGATTGGGTTTATACAAAACCCTCAATCTTAAAATTCCTCATTGTTTCCATTTTTCTTGTAGTTATTTTCAATCTGTTTATTTCAATGCTTTGCCATAGATGAGCGAAGATAAAAGAAATCTTGGGTCTTCTTGATAGCTCTCATTAAAATAAAAAACAAAAAATAAGCAAATCAAGTCTCATTATTTTTCAATATTCAATGCTTCCTCTTTTCCCATATATCTCTAATACCATTGTGGAAAAGTAATGGGTATTTTAGTAGAATGTATTTTCCATAGCTTTATCTGCTCGGTGAATATTTTTAAAAATCATGTATATAATCACATGCTGCAGTGAGTAAATAAACCATATTATCCCACGATTAGGAGCTATTTCCAGGGGCACTGCAATTAAATTCATTTTTTTTTCTAAGCTTATGTATGAATTCAGTCGAAAAGCTGGCTATAGGAAGCTTTTTGTTGTTATTGTGGTGGTGGTTTGTTTTGGTTAATCACAACTTCCCCTTTCAGTTCAAAATTTAAAAAAGCAAATCCCACCAGGAAAGGTGTTTATAATATAGTCAACAGAATTATACATTTTTTTAAATTCTGAAAAGTATACTATGCTATACAGAAGGTGGGCCACTGGCAAAGGCATGGCTTGTCTTTTGAGCTTTTCCTACTCTTTCCCCTATAGATATAAATTATCTATATGGCTACTTACAAGGTAAAAAAATAAAAGTATTATTATTTACCTGCCTGATACAAACAACTTGCTTTTTCTAATTTTTAGCTGCAATAACATTGATTGGGTATGATTTGTATATGTATACATTATTATACTAGACATGTGTAACAACAGTGTGTTTGGGGTACTTTGTTGTAGTGTCATGTATGTGAACAGAATATTATAAATAAGTCAGCCTGTTAAAAATCTTTGCCGAGTCAGAAAATAGTCATGTGCATTAATTTAAAAAATGGTTTTCTTTTTTCCATACAACAATCAGAGACCTTATTTTAAAATAGTATTTAAACAAGCTACTTAAATCCTGGTAAGTTAGTATTGGGGTGAGCACCTCCTAAGGTATATAAATATGTACTCACTATGTTACCAATATAATATTGTATGTTAACTGTAATTGAAAAAATCAGTTTTAAAAAGAAAAATAATAAAACTCTGTAAGTTACAGCTATAAAATACAGAAATTTAATAGTCACACTTTTTATTGTAGCCATATTCAATAGATTATAAACATATTTTTCTCCTCTAATCTTAAAAAAATTCTTAAACCTTAGCATGTTAATACATAATGAGACAGTAGTAATGAAATAAAAAGGCAGTTCAATAGCCTTTACAGCTATAAATGAATAAAATCCTGAAAGGGTTTACTCAGGCTGTCTAAATTTTTGCTGCCACAATATTTTTTTCGCAAGTGGGGACTGGGGTGGGGGTTGGATGACATGATGCTCACGTAGATCTAGCTGTTCCCTAGGTGGTTGTTTCTAGAAAAGCAACAGGCTTTCCCTGCTGCGTTAGCAGAAGCAACAGTTAGAAACTCTAACTAGAAAACTGCTACCCACAGTGGTTCGAAGCAGCCAATAGAGAAAGTGACAGCTATGGTTTCAATCCATTTTTGCAACAGCTTTAGAAGGGGGGGGGGAGGAAACCATAGAATGTTAACCCTTTGAAATGAAAGGGCCGCGCTGTTACTCTCGCCCCTTCCCTTCTACCTTCCCTTTATTCATCAAGCATCTTCGGCATGCTTAAGTTTCTGGGGTAAAGCATCTTAAATTTGCAAGATGCCGCAGGGCAAATTTAACAACCCCTACATGGGAACAATACAAGGCTCCCCAGAAGCTGGTTTGAGCACTTTCGTATTAGCGAGCATGACTGTTGTCTCAGCCTGTTGCTCCTGCCACACGGCGTGCCAGAGCCTGGAAAGAGGCACGGGACACTCTGAAGCCTCGCTGTGTGCTTGCGTGCTTGGTGGCCAGGCTGGGTCTGCCCCGGCTCCCGGCCCGCGGACGCCCGGGACTGGACCTGCGGGAAGGAGGCTGCGGACCCCCGCGCCAGGACCCTCGTGCAGGCCGCCCGACCGCCGGCAGAGGGTGCCCTCCGCGTCCGAACGCCCGAGGAAACCCTGCCAAAGTAACCTCAGACTCCGCCCCACCGGATCCGCGGCTGCCAGTCACCCGTCTTTCCCCAAATAGTGCGGGGCACGTTTCCTTCGGAACACCGCAGTAGCCGGTGTGTGTGTGTGTGTGTGTGTGTGTGTTCAAAATACAAACCAGGGGCAAGAGGGTGTGTGCGTGTGTGTCTCCGAGTGGGGAGAGCGCGCGGAGCGGGACTCCCGGGCCCGGGCGGGATGACCGCCAATGAAACGCAGAGGGCACGGAGACCGGTCCGTTTCGTATCTGCGTAAGCCCGGCCACAGAGCCCGTCCCGAGGCCACTCACCATGTTCACTTCGGAGACCATGTCTATGCTGGCGACATCGATCCTCATCCCGACGTCCACGGGGGGCCCTGCCGGGGAGGTGGGACGCAGAGTCTCAGAGTGGCGACAGGCAGGGGAGGGGACGGGGCTTCCTCTGCGCGTACCACATTCTGAATGGGCTCCTTCTACCCCCACCCCTCTTTACAGGGGACAGCCGAGAAACACAGGTGTGGGCACCGCGTAATGCGGTGACTATGCAGAGGGTGTGTCGGCCCGGGAAGGTCGGCTCTGCCCGGGGTTTCGTCCACCTGCGACTGGGGGATCCTGTGTGTGTGCGTGCGTGTGTGTGTCCAGGGCGCAGGGCGTAGTGTACGCTTATGAAAATTACATGCTTTTTTGGACATTTATCTTTGACAGTAGAGGAGAATTAGGTGTGGGTTACAGGTTGAAAAAAGATGAAGCTTTACCTCCAAAGTCCGGCCGCAAGCGAATGTCATATCCTTTGAGCAATCTGTCCACTGTCTCTTTCACGTATGACATGTTGCTGGGCTCATTGGCGCTGAAGGGAAGAAGTAGGGACCGTATTTAGAATGAACACAAACTGCGAGCAGCAAAAATAGACAGGCACACCTACCCCCCAATAAGAAGCTATATAATCCAGCAAGCATGTAACAAGAAAAACACTAAGAAAAAACAACAGCTCACCTGTGTGCACAACAGACCATGGCGATCATCACAGGGAAAGAGAGAAGCCCCAAACTCTCTCGATTTTGTACTCTCCACATTACTAACTCTGATTGAAGAATGGTCTTTCCGGCGAAGATTCAAGGAATGCAACTTAGTCGGCGGCAGGGCAGTAATTCTCCGGAATGGACCTGCGCATGCGCAGAGGGTGCTCACTACCAAAAGACACCTTGTGCCTTGCAAACAATATTCCTAGTGGAACAGGCAACAGATTTCAAACCCTTTAAAGTTCCTGTTTGTGGTGCTCGTCGTCCTCAGAGTAGTCGGAGATATCCTGCTGTTTGCTTGTTGGGGATTCTACATGCATGTGTATACGGATTGGAGGTTCCTGTGTTCTTTTCCTCTCTTCCCTCAACCTGTGGGGTTTGTTTATTTATTTATTTAATTAACTCAACTCGCAGGCATCTGGCTGCCTGATTGGCACCTTTCGTTGACAGTCACGGGGCTCCTAGAACAGGGGATTTGGATTATTTGAGGACTCCAAGAATCTGGCCCCCCCGGGAGGCCCTTTAGCGTGTCTGTCTTAGCGCACCCCTTCTCTGTGGGAGGGAGGGGAGCCCGGGCGGCTCAAATTTTTCATCCCTTTTCTTTCCTCCTCCTTTCCCCTTTCGCGTATCTCCAGGCTTCATGATGGGGGCGGGGGGGAATGACACAAGCGATGAGACGGCATCTCTGGGCAGGCAATGCTTTTTCTACGGCCCTTCCTACTACAAGTCCCAAGTTCCACTTTTGTTCTAGATTCTCGTGAGGAAAACCTCTTTCTTAAATTGCCAGAGTGTTAGATTGTATTTAGTAACTTAAAAGGACCCTGAAACACCCAAAGGGTTTACCCTCTGTTTGCAACTGGATTAGGGTTCTGTGGGAGCAACAGTTGTTTGAATTAAATTACATTCAATCAGTGCCATTTGATAAATGTTGTTGAGCACACGTTGGGTGGGAAGCCCTGCACTAGGTGTTTGTTCATTTATTTAACAGTATATATTTCATCTTTACGATGTTACAAGCATTCTGGGACTTAGAAATGACTTAAAGAGGACTCCTGGCCTAGAGAAATTCACAGACACATGAGAGAGAGAGACATACAAATACAGGTAAATGAAGCATCTGTCTCTAGACAGTGCTATGGTGACAAGAGGGCTGTTCATTCTATCAGGGAGAAGCAGGAAATGGTTTCCAGAGAAAGAGAAATGTTTCTGCCAAAGCAGGGAGGGAGGGGTATGCCAAAAGAAAGAGAAACAGCATGTGCCAAATCCTAAAGACTTAAAACAGTGTGGTCTGCTTGGATACCTGAATCCTGGAAAGCTGAGCAGAATATAAACGGAGGGAGGGAGGGGTGGTGGGTGATGGAGGTGCAAAGGGAAGCTGAAGCCAGATGATAAGTAAAAATTACATACTGCACTGTATAGATTTGTGCCTCTGGAAATTACTGAAGGTTTTAAGTAAGAATTGTCAAAGTCAGATACAGGTTTTACATGGAATGTTGTGGTAGAATAATCATAAGAACAATTGACATGTGTCACTTGCTGGTTATTGTGTACATTACCTATTATCGCTTTTAACTTTATAACCATACGAATGTGATATATATTATTCTCATTTTATAGATAATGGTGCTAGGAAAAATTAAAGTAATGTAACTCATGAAACATCAAACAGCTAATAAATGGTGGAATCAGAATTTCAAGCCATAGTCTATGGACCTGACTACCCTGTGTTTTGAAACGTACACCCCAATGAGAGGAAAGAGATCAGGAAAACAAGAAGACTGAAGGGTTATTATAACACCCCTAAGCAAAAGGAACTATAGCACAGAGAAAAGGTCATAGACTAGTGCAAGATTCTAAGGTATACGGAGGCATCAAATAATTGGAAAGTTCAGGACTTAAGAGACTTTTGGAAAGTGCCTAAAGAATTGTCCATTTACAAAGACGTATATCTTGACATTATACATATACATTAATTTTATTTTCTCATTTGTGCCTCACAAAAGCCTTAAACAGTGAGGTTGTGTCTTCTGGGGACAATGTTAGCCCTTATCAGTTTTCTGAATTTTCCTAAAAGCATGTGAGGCCTACTTTTTAAATTCATATGGATCTTCTTTTAATGGGAAAAAGGGAAGATTGATGCTTCAGGTTTTTGGTGAAGCAAAGAACCTCTCTATACTGCAGAACACTTTGCAAAACCTGGACTGTAGGATAAGACGTGTGGAGGTTCACTTCATTCATTTGTTCATTCATTTTTCCTCAAATGTTTACTGAACATTTATTTACTCCAAGACACTGTGCTGAAAGCTGGTGCTACGGGAGTGAAAAACCAGCATACAGAGTCCCACTCCACATGGAATTTGTCGACTGATCTATGTATTGTAGGTTACAAATTGTCAGCTTTGCTAGCCAAATTTAATTCATAGAAGAAGTATTTACTTTGGTGTTCATTGTGTTTGTTTAACTTAAGAATCTTTTATTGGGATATGTTTTATCCTGTTGGTCACAAATTCCAAAAACTCTTTTTGAATAACAACCAGGATCTCATTTAACAACATCTGATAAAGAGCCAAGATTGTATCCTAGCATTAAGGAAGACTATCTCTGATTTTGTACACTTGAATTCTAATGTGTAGCTTGCCCCAGTGCAGATCCCGTTCACTGAATTTGGCTTTTAAAGTGTGCCTTCCACCTACATGGAAGCACACAAGAAGAAGTCATAAGATGTTCATTATCATGTCTATGACTGGGATGTTATTGAGGATAAAGGCCACCGAATCAATCAGTATCTTACGTATGAAGATCTAAGAGAGAAAAATTTTCCCAGACCCTAGTACTTTGAGAATTGTTTCATTGCCTGAATAGTTTGTAATTTCTTGGCAACAAAAATCCTAAAATTCCTTAACTTCTCTATTTGCTTTGGCCACTGGGAATCTCAGAATGTAGGTACAATTCAGCTTTAATAATTATGTAAGATCTTAATGACCTGCATTTTGATAACTTACATTTCTCCCTGATGACTTGATATTCTAAATTTAATTTTCATTTGTCACACTTTAGTAATTTAAACACAGATATGTTGCACTGAATATATATAGTGTGTAAACTGTGTTGAATAATTTTGTAACTATTTGGGAAATAAATACATTTAAAATAAGAAATGAGTAAAAATTGGAAAAAATTAAAAGTCACCAGATCAAGACCCAGTGTGAGATTCAATATGGCTTGAAAAAGCCAAAACTTTCCCTGTGAAGTTGCTTGTTTTTTCCCCAAACCAATCCTCTTAATTAAGACTTTCCCTCCTTCAAGATTCAACTGAATTTCAATTTTTTTGTTAAAGCTCTTTCTAAGAGACATTGGCTATTCCTACTTGTATTACCGGTGGATAACTCTTAGAGGGACTGAAGGAAGACTGTGAAAAATTATCACCCACCTTGGACAAAGGTGTCTCAAGATCAAAACATATTCTTACACATATTCTCAGTGAACAGGTGTATTAATTAGAATGTGGAAGGCAGCTTTCACATTCTAATAGAATTCAAAATTCTATTTTGAATTAAGATCAAACTTGAAATGATGGTTTTACTTTCAAATTAGTGCTGCTTATTTCTTTCTTCTTGTAACTGCTGAGTTCAGACAAATAATGTGTGGGCTAAAGTTGTTTTTAATGAGCTATGGCAGAAACACTGTGTAGTTTTAACAAACATAGATGGCATTCCTTAAAGAGAGGACTCATACAGATTTTGTTAAAGCAAAATAATAGGCATTTCATTCTATAGTTTAAGAATATAACTAAAGCTCATTTGCATTCACTCTTGCTTCTTTTTATTGAGCATCTATGGTGTGCCTAGCAAGTATGCAACTCTGCAGTCATAATGAGTCCATTATTTTTGTCCTCCAGTTGGCTTAAAATCTTCTGTGAATGCATATATCAGGTTGGTTATATGTGAAAGGAAGGTGATAATATTGTTTGGAAGTATGATAAAGCAGCATCGTTATCATAAAGAAAGAATAAATACTAATCCTAACTCAATTCTGAATTCCCTAGATATTAACCTCTGTATAAAACAATTAAGCATATAGTTAAATGAATGTTTCATAATCATGGGTAAATAGCAGGTTTTCCAGTAAATAATAAAATATTATCATTGGAAAATATTTAATACTGTGTAAGCATTTCATTATGCTTTTCACTAAAATAAGTTTCAGCTGAATTAAGGACTTAAAGGTAAAAAAATGAAAACAGAAATAATAAGTAGGTACATGTATACATAACCATTCAACATTTAGTAAGGGAATATTGGGCATTTTTTCTTTGCTATATAGTGGCCAAAGGAGAAATTTAAAAAAAAAATTTGATAGATATGAACATATAATTATAAAGCTATTTTTAAACCATATACTTGAAAATTAACTAATTTTGATAAAGGAGCATTTCCATTAAAATAGCATTTTCATTAAAGGAGCATTTCCATATGAATGTTCAACATTATACCAGAAGTACAATGTTGCAATGAGACAATAAATATCAAGGGGGAGACAGAAAAATGGGAAAGGAAGTCTATCTTGAAAGAAAACCCCATAGTATCTGCAAACATACAAGAATAATAATGAGAGTTAAGCCAGCTTGCTGGACTCAAGATCAAACAACATTTAAATACATGTTAGCACTATTACTCTACACAGTAGTTCCAATAAGAAAACATAATAGGAAAACTTATTTCATTATAATAATGACAGGAAGAACTATCACATATCCAAGAACAACTTAAAAAAGATGTGTTGAGGGCTTTATAAAGAATCTATATAACATTACGGATGAACAAAAAGAAGACCTAGATAAATGGAAAATGTACCATATTTGAAACTGGGAAGACTCAATGACTCTAAAGGTGTGAATTTTATCCACTCTGAGAAATCTAATCAATATGAATGAAAATTCCAATATTTGTAGTGGATTTTTAAAAAAGATTTTATTTATTTATCTTTAGAGGGGAAGGGACAGAGAGAGGGAGAGAAACATCAATGTACAGTTGCCTTTCGTGCATCCCCTGCTAGGAACTGGCCTGCAGGGAACCAGCCTGCAACCCAGTCATGTGCCCTGACTGGGAATCGAACCGTAATTGTCTGGT